TGCTCCCACCCCCAAGCCAGCTGGGCTGGGTTCCCAGCTGTTTGGCAGGTTACCAATGCCCCTCGGCCCCAACCAGTCTAGGGGGTATGTAGCCTCCCTCCCTGAGGGGTGTTCGGGTGGGATTCCCGAGGGACCTGGCGGCAGGGAGGAGGGTGGGGACTGGTGTCTTCTTGAGTGGCCCCTTGCCCCACCCTACACCAATAAAGATGCTCAGCAAGATCCACTCTGTGGGATGCCTGGAGCTTCTGCCAGAACCTGGGCCCCACGCCCTCCCCAGCTTTCAGCTTCAGGCCTCCTTCCTCTGCCACTTGCCCCCTGAGAGCCTTCAAGGTCTAGGCCATACAGGGCCTTCCAGGGCCCCTGACTTCTGCCCTCATTTTGGGAGGCCCCTCTTGTTTTCCTCAGTGCACTGCTTCCACCACATTGCAGCACCATCCCAGCCATCCCTGGCTGTTTCTTGCTGTCCTAGAATTTGAGCCCAAAGAGGGCAGGAACATCAACGGTCCCCACCACTGCACACGGCAGTTTGCATGTAGTCAGAGCTTAATAAATATCTTTTGACTTGAATGAACGGGGCCCACACCTGCTTTAGAGGTGAACATTTAGGTGGGGGTGGGTTGCTTTCAGGGGACAAGCAGAGGGCAAGCTGGGGGACTGAAAGCCAGAGGCACAGGAACAAGCCTCTCCTCAGCCATCCCCTCTAGTCCTGCCCTCCCCGCCCTTCTCCACCAGGGGGTGCTCTTTCCCCTTCGGTGGAAGGGCCGAAGCTGTTGTCCAGGGTTAGGGTTACGGCCATGGCCACGGCCACGGTTCCTATAACCCACCCTTCCACCCACTGTTTCTCCTTTTCAGCTCCGGGGGTGCTTTGAATCCATTCTCAAGTGTGTGCCCCCAGTGGGAGGCAGGCAGAGAAGGCCTTATTGTTCTCATCTTACAGAGGGTGAAATCGGCTCAGAGAATGTCCTTTTCCTCAAGAACATACAGCGACCAGGTGGGCAGGATGGGAACCTGAACCCAGGCCTTTGGACTCTGGGGTCAGTGCTCCTTGATGACACCATGCAACTCCAAGCTGGCTCCTGGGCCAGGCCTCATCCTGGCCATGGAGGGCGGCTCTGGTCTGAGGACCCCTCCCTGACCTGCCCCCATGCTCCCCTCCTTGGCCTAGCTGGAGCTGGGGAACACGGGTTCTTCCTCTGGAGCCCCAGGCTCTGCTGCTTCTTCCTTCGCTCCACTCATCAGCCTTTCCGTCTCTCTCCTGCCCAAGACTTGCCCATGGCTCACCGGTGCTGCTCACTTTCTTAACAGGCCTGACTCCACTTCCTCATCCCCGATGCTCTTCCTCACTGTATAATCTGGCCTCTGGTTCCACCGGTGCTCTGAAAGTGTCCTCTTTGCCCAACACAGTTCCTTGGGCTACCTGCTTCCTCTCAGTCCTCCCTGTCTTCCTCACCGGCCCCTAGAGGTGGTGCTCCTCAGGTCCTGTCTGGTATCCAGTCTCCTCTCTGTACTGTCCTTGGAGAACCTGAACCACACCCCTGGTCTACCGATGACTTCCAACGCCCTGTCTCCAGTTCAGGCCTCTCTTCTGAGAGATGGACCCAGAGTTTAAGCTGCTCGTCACGCCTCCGCTTGGCAATACAGCCTAGGGGTTAAGTGTGTGGACTCCAGAACCCAAATGCCTGGATTCAAAGTCTGGGTGGACTTGGGTAAGATACTCAAGCTCTCTGGGCCTCAGTTTCCTTATCCATAAAATGAGGATTATAATATCTATTTCAAAGCTCCCTCGTAAGGCTGAATTGAAATAATACACACAAAGGACTCACAGTGCCTGGCATGCCCCGTCTCCCTGAGAACATTCCAGATTTTTCCATCTCCTTCCCGCCACAGCCAGTTGGTCTGGGGGGGCCTCTGATGTTTCTTGCCCCTGCCCTGATGCAGTGTCTCCCCCCACCATCTCCCCCCGCCATCCGCATCTCCTTGCTGCTTTCCGTCTTTCCTGCAATGTGGCACATCTCCTCCTAAATCCCTGCCCCTGGCCAGGCTGGACTCTAGGTGCCTCAGGCCCAGTCACTCCATCGGCATATCCCCGCCCACGTTTCCTTCCTCATCCCTCCATGCTTCCTGCCTGCGTTGTACCCTCCTTACCCTCCACTTGGCTCCAGCCATATCACTAGAGTCTGCTTTCTCCTGCCTTTGCCTATACATAGTCCTTTTCCCTGGAATGCTTTTAACCCCCATTCCCCGCCCCCCCCACCTCACCCATGAAGCCCCTAAAAGCTCAAGGCCACCTCATTCTCGAAGCTTTCCTCTGCTTCTCTGGCCTTCCATTGTTCCTTTTCGGAGATCTTACTATAGAGTCAGGATTGCTAAGACTAGGACCCCTCAAGGGAAGGAGCTAGGTCTTATCTCCATTTCCCCAGGGGCAACCTCCAGTCCCCCACCTCTTCATATATTAGGATTCCCAAAAAGCATTTGTGAACCGAGAAAGGTGACTGGGCTGGGGGAGGAGCTTAGAAAGAGGGGGGATATAAGGAGGGTCCTCAGTGAAGGACCCCCTCCACCCATGTTGGGCTCTGCTTCCAGGACCCCCAGAGAAAGAGTATGCCAGGAATAGAAGTGGATTTGGGGTTGGGTGGTAGGCCTAGGGAGTGAGACCCAGGGAGACTGAGGGAAAGGATGGGAGGAAGAGGGTTTGGAGAAGATTGATGGGGGAGGGCCAGGACAGGATGGGGGTGCAGGTCAAGGTGCAGGAAGAGGTGGGAAGGGCAGCAGGGTGGGGGAAGAGCGCACTTTCTGGGAAGTGGGAGAGGGTGGGGGAGGTGAGCGCAGTGCATTGTGGAGGGAGGAATTCATCTGCTGGCCGGCGTGAGCTCATTTCCTCTCGCTGCCTCCCGCAGTGTCTGAGGGCATCGGGTTCTGGAAAAAGTGAGCCAGGGGCACACCAGCGGTCACCACCCTCCTCCCCTCCCCCACAGCCGCAGTTCAGTTTGCACCCCAGGTGTCACCGCTTCCCCCTCACAGAGACAGCCCCTTTGTCCTGAGCGGAGAGACCCCTGAGCCAGGGTGGCAGCAAGCCTTGGACCACTGGAGCTATAGGACAGAGAGAGGTAGAAACAGGAACCTTGTTGAAAACCATGCAAGGCAATACAGGCAGTATGATGGGTCACAGTTAGATAGCAGGAAGGACTGCTCAGAAGAGGGGGACAAGTCCAGCTGCACTCGCGACCTTGATGAAGAGAGGTGGGGAAGGACGAGGAGTCATGAAGTGCCCTTCCATCATTATGAGAGCCTCGCTCTCCATGGACTGCCAGGGAATTTCAAAGAGATTAAATAACACGTAAGATTTAAAACCAAGTCAGTATGTCCTTCCTCAGGCTCACAGGAGTAGGGATGGCCTAGTTGGTGTCTGGGCCGCTCTTAACCTGCTCTGGGACCTGAGTCCCTGGTCCTGGGGGGACTTGGGGCTGGTGATGGCGGTGAAGTAGGCAGGTTCTATGAGGTCTCCTTGCCCAGAGGGGTGGGTGATTCCAGCGGGCAGAGTCAGCCTTCCACTCTCATTGGCTGCCTTATCCCAACCCTATTCCTATCTATCCGTGGCCTCTCCCGCCTTTTCTTCATAATCTGGCTGTAGGAATACAGGAGCCCGTTAAAGCTGCAAGAAGGCAGGGGCGCCTGGGTGGCTCAGTCGTTAAGCGTCTGCCTTCGGCTCAGGTCATGATCCCAGGGTCCTGGGTTCGAGCCCCGCATCGGGCTCCCTGCTCCGTGGGGAGCCTGCTTCTCCCTCTCCCACTCCCCCGGCTTGTGTTCCCTCTCTCGCTGTGTCTCTCTCTGTCAAAGAAATAAAATTAAAAAAAAAAAAAAGAATCAATATAAAAAAAACTGCAAGAAGGCACAGGAAAGAGGTAAGCATAGGCTGTAGGAAATATAGGAAGTAAGAAGGATGTCAGTTAGACAGCAGAAAGAACTTTCTGTCAGAAACGAAGGACTGTGGGACTATCTCTTCCCGGATCATCAGGAGATGGCCTGGAGGGGTCCTGCTTGGGGGCAGGGAAATGAAGAACTGGCTCAGGACCCCAGTGGCTCTTTGGGCCCACCCAGGAATGAAGCCCCGAAGGAAGGCTGTGGGGAGCTTGTGACTGGGAGGCCTGGGGCCATCTCTGCCCTCTCTGGTGTCCACTGTAGAGCAGATCTATGAGCTGGTCCAGAGGCCTGAGCCCCAGGCTGGCTGGCTGGGGGTCTGAAGGGCTGGGGCACCTGCCAGCCTTTCTCTTCCAGCCTCCACCCCTCTGCCTCCTTGGGGTCCTGGACTGAGGCTCCGCCTAGGAGGGAGACCCTAGATAGAGGGGCTGGAGCCCCTGAAAGCTCCCTCCCGCCCCCACTCCCACGGGCATCACCATCTCTGTCCTTGTCTCCGTAAACCTCTGGACGGAAGGCTCCCTAAGCCTTCTTCCGTCTTTCCCTCTCTTCAGTCCTGGGTCTCTTTATCTTTGTCTGTCTTCTGCTCTCTACACTGTCTCTATCTTGTCTCTGTCGTGCTTTCTGTGTCTCTCAGTCTTTGTTTCTGACCATCTCTGTCTGGCTATGTTTCTCTCTTGCTTCCCTCTCCCTTCCTTCCTCCTTCCCTCTCCCTGTGCTAGCTCTGGGTTGGGTGCCCTTGGCCTCTTTCCTCGGTCAGCCAGGATCACCACCTATTTGGGCCGGTTCTCGGGAGGCCAGCCCAAATTGTCTCCCTGAGACCACCTCTGTTCCCCAGGCTGCACTGCCCCGTAGCTCCGCTGCCGGGCGCTAACCGCTACCTGAGCCCCCTTTGCCAAGTCAGCTGCCCTGGGGAGAGGCGGCGGGTGCGCCCCGTCGGGAGCGCAGGGGGAGGAGCGAAGGGGCTGGCCCCCCCCGGGGGGGGGCACTCCGCGCTCGGCCCCGCCCCCTCCGGCCCCGCCCCTCCCGGGTCCCTGCCCGCGCCCCCAGCAGTGCCCTGGCCGCAGAGCCGCCGCTGCCACCCGATGAATGGAGTCGCCTTCTGCCTGGTCGGGATCCCGCCCCGCCCGGAGCCCCGGCCCCCTCAGGTGAGGGCGCTGGGCCAGGGGAGGGGGGCGGATCCAGGCGCTGCCAGGGAGCTGGCCACAGGGCCGGGGTCGCGGCGCCCCCGCTTGGCGGGCACGACCTGGGGCACACGGCGCGGACACCGCGGGCACGGCTGCAGGGAACTTGGGCTGGTGGCGGGCCGGGGAGGGGGCCGGAGCGAGAGGTGCCCTGGGCAGGGGGGGCGGGATGGAGGAAGGCAGGCAGGGGGCCGGGACGCGTACGGGGCTGCCTGGGCAGAGGGCACGGACCAGGGCGGTGGTGTCAGGCCCTCCGCGGCCGGGCAGCAGGGGCGGGAGGCCCGCGCCTTTTGTCCGGGCTTTTCAGGCGGGGCGCCTGCCGCCGTTTCCTCTGCCCGAGTTTTCGTTTTCCGTTGGCGAGGCCCCGGCACAGCTGGAGGGAGAGGGAGTGGGGGAGGGGGTTCCCGGAGCGGGATGTCCTTGGCCACTGCGGCCGGACACCCCCCTCCCCGCGCCACACTCGCCCCCTGCCGGGCCGGACCGCACGATGAGCTTCAGGGAGCGGGTCTGCAGCTCCACTGGCTCCTGGGGAGAAGAAACAGGCCCGGGAACCCCGGGTCCCGAAGGCTCCGCTGCGCTCCCCTCCGCCCCCTCGGGCTGGCTGTGGGTGGGTCTGGGCGCAGGGTGCCAGGGGCATTACTCAGCGCTGGGCTGCTTTGCTTGGGTTCTTTCATCTGCCAGCTGCTGAAGCTGGGGAGGGGCCAGTAAGGGCCTCTGGGCCCCTTTGGAGCCAGCCCCCTACCTCTGAGCCCGGTTGCCCAGTGCTGGAGTACCCCAACACTGCACCGCCCTCCTTCCCAAGTGGAAGCGTTGGACGCTCTGGGGACAGTCGTTTCCCCGGTTGGAAAAGAAGTTCCCTCGGGGTCTAGGTTGCGGTCAAGGTCTGGGCCAAGGCCTCTTCCTCTTCTGACGAGGCTGGAGGACTTAGTGATGCTCTTCCTCAGCTGCCTCCCCTGCCCGCCCCCCATCCCATGATGGAGCTGGGGTCTGGTGCTTTGCAAACTCTTTCTGAGACTGGTGTGTTTCTCAGACGCTGGATGTATGCTCAGTTCTTTCTCAACCTGCATCTCTCTTCCCGGACTCTCCCTGCACCTTTCAGCCAAAGTGTTTCCTAATTACAAACTTGAAATTCAGGATGTACAGGGGGTGGGGGTGGAGGTCATTAGGCCTGAGTCCCATGGATTCACCCCCCACCCCCAACAACACATGCTTCATCTCCACCCCCCTACCATGTCCACCCCCACCCCAGGCCCAGCTGGGGGTGGATGGGGTTTGATTCCATGTGGTTCTGCCCCTCTGCCAGGGCAACAGCCTTACTCCCCAGAGTGGCTGCTCTCACTGAGATGTGCTCATTGGCATGCGATTTGAATCTCCATTATATAACCAGTCATTTCGCCTCCAAACACAACTCAAAGGCCCCCAGCCCCAGCCTCGGCCACTTGCTCACAAGGTGGTTGGGTCTACCCTTAGGTGGCTGGGAACTTATTTTCCAGCATCTGAGGCCTTACCTTCCCCTTGGGAATGATAAGAGCAATAAATCCCTTTTACCTTCGATGCTGGATTCCAGGACCTCAAAAGCCCTGTGAGCAGGCAGGGTGGGTATTCAGGTCTGAGACCACACAGTCAGAGCGCTAGGGCTAGAACCTGGGTACCCTGATGAGATCCTGGCATAAGGTGAAACTTTGAGAGGGGCGTGCTGTTAAGAAGGTGGCTTTGGTACACCATGGGCAATGGGGCAGGCTTACAAGGATCTCAGCCCAAGCAGAGAGGGACTGGACGCAGGGAGTAGGCCTCGTGCTGGGCTGCCTGGATGGGGTCCTCTCTGCCCCCTCATCAGGCTTGCCCTGAGCCCATGGGGAAGAGAGACAGGAGGTCCCTCTGGTCCCCCAGGGGTGCAGCAGTTTTGCCAGGGATGGGAGTGGGGATGAGGGATGGTGCTGGTTGCAGAATAGGGCAGGGCTGGGGTGGGCAGGGGCATGCGTCACTTCATCCTTCATTGCAGAAGGACTGCCTGGTATATTAGGTTAAAAGAGACCACAAAGAAGGAGAATGAACTAAGTTATTTTGTGAGGGACTGCAGTTAGCTCTGCAAGGGGACTTAGAGGGAGAGGCTTGCGGAGCTGCAGCATCCCAGTCTGGCCTGGAACATCCCACAAGGAAGGTTCCTCCAGGACACTGGGTTAGGTAGATCCCTTGACACTGGATTCCAAGTGTAGGAATCTGGAGAGATTCAGAGGGGATACAAATATATGCAAATAAGTGCATACATTAGTGCCTAAGAAAAAAATGTGTTTTTAAGGAGGCGGGAATTGCCTTAATAAAACACCTGATAGTTAAGACGTAGGTAGCAATGACTCCGGGCCAGGATTTATAAAAATTACTTCATTTAATCCTCACACCACCACTGTGGTGTGGGTACCATTATTGTCCCCATTTTACAGTTGAGGACACTGAAGCCTAGAGAGCTAATAGCTTGGCCAGGGTCACATCACTAACGAGTGGCAGAGCCGGGGAAGGAACGTGGTGATCTGCTGCAGAATTCATGCTCTCACCCTGCCATCCTGTTTCTTGGGCCTTCCCTGGTCCCACTGTCACTCCCACCCTGGGTCTGGGTCCATCTAGGCCACAGCTCAAGAACAAGGTTAACCTCTCGCTGGATGGGAGCTTGGTTGCTTGTCGTCAGGCTGGGACAGGGCAGAGGACGGGAGGCCTCAGGGTGGCAAAGCCTTAGGTGCCCATCCAACATTGGTGGGTGTGGAATCAGCTCATTGACTCCCTCAACACCCGCACCTCACCTCAGGCTAACCCATAGCCCTTGGACTGTGGCTCGGTTCATTGGTGTTTTCCTTCCAAAGGGGCATCAGCCCTGCTCTGTTAGCTGCAGGGGTTCAAAGGTGAGATATTGGCTTGGTCAGGGATTTGGACAAAGCCCAGTTTTAACTATCCTGCTCTCTCTCTCCCTCCCCAGAGACAGCCATGAATAGGGCCTGTGGGAGCTGGCTCTGCCTTTCCCCAGCACCCCCACCCCCTTCAAACAACCCGCCTTTAGATCCAGGCCCCCCTATTTCATGCGAAATTGTGCCAGCTCTTTAGCAGGACAGTGCCAGTCAGTGCCAGGCGGGTATCTCTTCCCCCCTGCCTCAGTGGGACAGCAGGCTGAGATGGCCTAGGGACCGCACTGGGGTGAGTTTAAAGCTCTGTGGGAGTGGGATTATTTGTTACCTGTCAGAGTGGGTCGGGACCGGAGGGCTTATCTTGTCCAACTCCTTCATGCTAAAACGGGGAAACTGAGGCTAGACAGTGCCCAAGGTCAGGTGGCCCGTGAGTGGTGGACATGAACCCAGGTGTCCTGATTTCCAGGCTCCCAGGCCTTGCTTTTCTCCACACAGTTCTGTCCATGGTGCCCCCCACCCCCGCCGCCCCCCACCCTCAGTGCGGGGTTCTGGGATTGGGCCTTGGGACAGAAGGGAGGAGCAGGGATGAGTGGACAATGTGCCCCGTTCATCCCTGTGTCCCCAGTGACCAGCACAGCGCCTGGCACAGGGCGGCTCTCTATAAATGTTTGTGAAGTGGAAGCCAGGGGGAGCAGCCCTGCCCCTGGCCTCCCACGGTGCCCCGTGCCCAGCTCTCCCCCTGGCGTTGTGACAGCTGGTCTACACATCAGTCTCCTCCATCGTCCTGGAGTTATTTGAGGACAAGGAAAGTAATAATAGGAACTACTTCCATAGTGGTTACCCCTGGGTAGGAAGGTACCTTATCATTATCCCATTTCACCGATGAAGAAACTGACCCAAAGAGATTCTGTGGCTTCCTAAGGTGACACAGTAGTAGTAAGTGGCAGAGCTGAGTTGACTGTGCTCTTAACCTCATTCCAAGCAGCCCTAAAGGTGTGGTGTTTGTCTTGGTGTCCACAGGACCAGGCCCACAACCAGTACTCAGAGAATGTTTGTTGACTGACTGGTTGACAGAACATGGAGGAACCACAGAAGGCTGTAATCTAACCCTTCGGAAGTAGCTGGAGTTGGAGTCTTGGGAAGGCAGCCTAGAGGTGCACCGCTGTGTTGTCTATGTGTCAGGAGTGCCTGATCTAAACCCAGAGAGGAAGGGAAAGCTCAAACCCTGTCATGACTGCCTTCGAAGGTTTAACAGGGGCTGCTGGGGCCCCTTTCACTCCCTCCTTCTTCCCCCAGAATTCTAAGGGGATGGTGCTGAGCAATGGGCACATGGGGAAAGACTACAGGCAGGATTAACAAGTCCTGTTCCTTTTTCATCTCTCTGGCCCTGAGATCTTCAGCCCAGTGCATCACCTTGGCGGAAGATTCTGCCCCTTTCAAGTTGGAGGGTAGACAGAGTGTCTGGTTTAAGGCAGGGCTTGTCATGGCCACTCATGCACCTTTCCTCCATGGGAAGTGGTTGAATTTCCAGCTACCTCCAGTCCTAAACCTTGGGCCCAGGGTCATCTCCTCCAACCTCCTGAAACCCATGTGCCCCTGGGCAGGGGACCTCTCTCCCTCTGACTACCCCTCTGCCCCCCATTTGCTGGTCTGAAATCACATCAGTCATCTGCATGGTTAGGTCACACTTCATCTGCTGACAAAGCCTGGCAGGGAGCTGGCTAAGAAAAAAGAAGACTCAGTGTGGAGATGTCCTTCTAATATACAGGCAACCATGGCAGGCAAGAGGCCTGGGCCTGGCGTGGCCCCTTGGCATGCTGGGGGGCAGGTTGTTTGGGCCCTGCCTTCAGCCTGCTGAGGTTCAAATTTCAGCTCTATCCCTTACTCACTGTGTGATGTGGCCCTGGCAACTGGGCTCTTTGTTTTTAGCCTCCATTTTCTTATCCCTGAAATAATCCCTCAAAATCGTTGAGAGGATTAAATGAGGGGATATAGGTAGAGGGGCTGACATTTGGTAATCTCAACCATTAGTAGCAACAATTGTTAAACAGATGAGAATCAATGGATGGA